AAAACTAAAATCACATTCCTATCTGAACAAAAATACTTTCATCACGTTTCATTTCTTATATTTCATTTATTTTTATTTAACCTTTATTTAACTAGGCAAGTCAGTTAACAAATTCTTATTATACACAACAGCTTGACATATACAATGTGTACACTTTCCAAATTACAGTATTTTCATTATAACATTTTTAATGACATCACAAAATCATAAACAATATGACATGATTAGTCTTTTGATCCCCACTGACCATTCCAAACATTCGGATATTAGGAATATTGTTCCAGTGTTTACTTTTTGGACGTTACAGTTTTGGTGGCAAAACTCTCTCTCTAGACAAAGACATTCCAATCTCAATACTAGAGAGCCAGAGAGAGAGTTCTCTCCTGCTTAAATTTACAACAGAGTGTTAAGGTGTCAAAAACCGGCCCAGCTCCCCCTCCCCTCTTCTGCGGGTGAGAGGGTCTGTTTATTGTCAGCCATTTGCCAAGAGTCCTTTGATCCTCAGCCAGGAGAGTCATGACAGCACTATGGGGTTGATGTCACGATCGTCTAAGGAGGAGGACCAAGGCGCAGCGTGATGAACGAACATACTTTATTATCTTCAGTGATAATACGAACAAAACAATAAACGATACGTGCAGTCCTACGGTTAAACACAACCAACACGGAACAAACCAAACGGAACAAGATCCCACAACACCTGTGGGAACACAGCCTGTCTAAATATGGCTCCCAATCAGAGACAACCAGCAACAGCTGACACTCGTTGCCTCTGATTGGGAACCACTCTGGCCAACATAGAAATGCAAAGCTAGACTGTGAACATAGAACAAAAACACATAGAATCTACACACCCTGGCTCAACATATAGAGTCCCCAGAGCCAGGGTGTGACAGTTGAAAGCTGAGCTGTAGTCGATAAACAGCATTCTCACATAGGTATTCCTCTTTTCTAGGTGGGAGAGGGCAGAGTGGAGTGTAATTGAAATAGTGTTGTCTGTAGATCTGTTGGGGCGGTATGCAAATTGGAGTGGTCTAGGGTGTCTGGGATGATGGAGTTGATGTGTGCCATTTCATTATTACATATTTGAGTGCTACAGGGCGGTAGTCATTGTGGTAGGTTCCCTTAGAGGTTTTGGGGACAGGAATGATGGTAGTCAGCTTGGGACAAGGAGAAGTTGAATATGTCATTACAGACGCCTGCCAGTTGGTCTGCGCATGCCCTGAGGACACACCCTGGAATACCATCTGGCCCTGTGGCCTTACGAGTGTTGACCCGTTTAAAATCTTTACTCACGTCAGCCTCAGAGAGAGATGTCCTCCAGATTAGCAGGGGGCCTCACAGAGGGCTCTGTGTTGTTTTATTTCAAGCGTGCAAAAAAGGCATTGAGTTCGTCAGGCAGAGAGGCATCATTGGGCAGATCACAGCTAGGGCTTCCTTTGTAGTCTGTAATGTACTGTAGCCCCTGACACATGCGCCGCGCGTCGTACAATAGGATTCCACCTTGTTCCGAAATTGTCCTTCATGGCTCTGCGGAGGCTGAAGCGGGACTTCATGTCCTCAGCTGTAGCCTTGGGGGTTGGCTGCGATAGCCCTGTAAACTGTAGCTCAGTCAATAAGCTTAGTGCGCACCTCAGAGTTAACCCAGGGCTTTTGATTGGAGAAGAAGCGATCCTTCACTGTGGGGATGACGTTAGCTCGTTGTTGCTATCGGCAAAGTCCTAGAACATATTCCAGTTAGCGCTAGCAAAGCAGTCCTGCAGCATAGCCTCTTCTTCTTATTATCCTGGGCTATCAGTATGGACAGATAGATATTAGCCTGGGTTGTCAGTATGGACAGATATACAGTACCAGTCAAAAGTTTGGACACACCTACTCATTCAAGGGTTTTTCTTTATTTGTACTATTTTCTACATTGTAGAATAATAGTGAAGACATCACAACTATTAAATAACACATATGGAATCATGTAGTAACCAAAAAAGTGTTAAACATATCCAAATATATTTTAGATTCTTCAAAGTAGCCACCCTTTGCCTTGATGACAGCTTTGCACACTCTTGGCATTCTCTCAACCAGCTTCATGAGGAATGCTTTTCCAACCGTCTTGAAGGAGTTCCCACATATGCTGAGCACTTGTTGACTGCTTTTCCTTTACTCTGCGGTCCAACTCATCCCAAACCATCTCAATTGGGTTGAGGTCGGGTGATTGTGGAGGCCAGGTCATCTGATGCAGCACTCCATCACTCTCCTTCTTGGTAAAATAGCCCTTACACAGCCTGGAGGTGTGTTTTGGGTCATTGTCTTGTTGAAAAACAAATGATAGTCCCACTAAGCGCAAACCAGATGGGATGGCGTATCACTGCAGAATGCTGTGGTAGCCATGCTTGTTAAGTGTGCCTTGAATTCTAAATAAATCACTGACAGTGTCACCAGAAAAGCACCCCCACACCATCATACTTCCTCCTCCATGCTTCACGGTGGGAACCACACATGAAGAGATAATCCGTTCACCTACTCTGCATCTCACAAAGACACGGCGGTTGGAACCAAAAATCTCAAATCTGGACTCATCAGACCAAAGGACAGATTTCCACCGGTCTAATGTCCGTTGCTTGTGTTTCTTGGCCCAAGCAAGTCTCTTCTTCTTATTGGTGTCCTTTAGTAGTGGTTTCTTTGCAGCAATTTGACCATGAAGGCCTGATTCAAGCAGACTCCTCTGAACAGTTGATTTTGAGATGTCTGTTACTTGAACTCTGTGAAGAATTTATTTGGGCTGCAATTTCTGAGGCTGGTAACTCTAATGAACTTATCCTCTGCAGCAGAGGTAACTCTGGATCTTCCTTTCCTGTGGCAGTCCTCATGAAATCCAGTTTTATCATAGCTGTGTCTTCATGAGACGCAGTGTAGGTGAACGGTTGATCTCCGCATGTGTAGTTCCAACCGTGAAGCATGGAGGAGGAGGTGTGATGGTGTTGGGGTGCTTTGCTGGTGACACTTAACCAGCATGGCAACCACAGCATTCTGCAGCGATACACCAACTCATCTTACTCTTTAATGAAACTATTTCAAAAGTTAGAATAAATGTTCAAATAGTTTTACTAAATCTGTCTATGATGGAATGAAGTAAAATTAACTTAATGTAAATAAACTGTTTTTATTTCAACAGGATGTGATACATCTTTGTCCATTTCCTGTTTTTTTATTGATTTATATTTTTTATTTAACCAGGCAAGTCAGTTAAGAACAAATTCTTATTTACAATGATGGCCTACCAAAAGGCAAAAGGCCTCGTGAGGGGACGGGGGCTGGGATTAAAAATATAGGACAAAACACACATCACGACAAGAGAGACACCACAACATTGCATGGCAGCAACACATGACAACACAGCATGGTAGCAACACAATATGACAAAATGGTAGCAACACAACATGGTAGCATCACAAAACATGGTACAAACATTATTAGGCACAGACAACAGCACAAAGGGCAAGAAGGTAGAGACAACAATAGATCACATGAAGCAGCCAAAACTGTCAGTAAGAGTGTCCATGATTGAGTCTTTGAATGAAGAGATGGAGATAAAACTGTCCAGTTTGAGTGTTTTTTCCAGCTCGATCCAGTCGCTAGCTGCAGCAAACTGAAAAGAGGAGCGACCCAGGGATGTGAGTGCTTTGGGGACCTTCAACAGAATGTGGCTGGCAGAACGGGTGTTGTATGTGGAGGATGAGGGCTGCAGTAGGTATCTCAGATAAGGGGGAGTGAGGCCTAAGTTTAGTAGATTAATGGGATATGTTACACACATAGATTGCTGAGATTGACATGAAATCAGATGTACACACATTCTTTACATTTGTAAAAAACTAACAATACAATAATTAAGTTGCTACATAATGGAAATTCATCTTTTAACATGCATATACACTGAGTAAACAAAACATGCAGTTCTTGACACAAACCGGTGCACCTGGCACCTACTACCATAGTGTCATCAATAAGGGATCATAGCTTTCACCTGGTCAGTCTATGTCACGGAAAGAGCAGTGTTCTTAATGTTTTGTACACTCAGTATCCCTTAATGTAATGCAACAAAATAAGACGACTAGGGTGTTCTCTTGCAATATAAAAGCTTTTCACAATGTATCCATCTGTTTGAGGCTTGTTGTCATTGTAATCTAAACATAAAATGACATTTCTATGTGTGTAGAACTAACGGAAAACATCCAAATCAAATTGGTCACATATACATTTACAATAACATTATGTACATTCTGCACTGATTTTTGGATTCCCTTCAAGTCCACCAGGGTTAGTCTTCAAAGACAATTTTAAAAAATCTAACTTGAGGTAACGTAAGTATTTTACAGGTAGCATATGTTTTCTTTGCCACTCTTTTCTCCCAATATCAGCATCTCAGATGCTTCTGCAAATGAATCCTTTAGCATTTTGAGGTTTTGATCATATCAAAATGAGAGAAGAAAACATTTCACCACTCACAATTACATTTCCTAATCATTGTACTCAGAGTATAAGATACTTCAGTTGGTGTTAGGGTTAGTGTGTTCATCTCAAGGGGATATTTGGGTTATACAGAATGAATAATAGCCGTTTGATACCTCTCTGGATTTCAGATTAGCTGCTAGAAACCAAATATGACAGAAAACCCCCTGATCAACACTAAATAGACATTCTTTACTTGCTTTCCTTTGGGTTTCACTTTTCCAGATGTAGCAATACACCAACAGTCTATTTTCAGAAAAGTTTTCAGCTCATTTTACGAGCATCGCTCCACATACTCAAAAGAATACACTTGCTGTCCAATTTTGACCCATTATTATACACTTGTGACACGTCTGACGCTCATGGCCCATCTGTTTTCTCTCATTCCCACCAATATAGATTCTAACAGAAGCATACTCATCAATGCTCGCATCAAAAATCCCCCCTCTGTGTTTTGGCTTTAATTCTTAAAGTATTCCGCAAGTCCCCCTACACTTTTTATTTTTCTTTCTTGTGCAGATGGTTGAAAAGACAGGTTTGCTCTGTTCCCCATTGGTCAGCACAGTTGAGACACTGACCGTGTATTGATTGTTAGGTTCCAGGTCAAATAATGTTTTGTTGCAGTCCTCAGTAATATCTGTAGTGGGTTCTGTTCCATGGCAACAGAGGAATATGAGGAAACGCTGAGGGGTTTGTTCCATTCCTTCAGCCTTGGACCAGTGGAGGGTGAAGGACGTTGCTCTTATTTGGTCTAACTTTAACTGCCTTGGTGATGGGACCACTAAATGTGTCAAGAAATACAAGTAAGTGAACAATAAAAGATACCAGCCCAATAATCTTCTTTAACGTATTATACACTATACTGTATATACAAAAGTATGTGGACACCCCTTCAAATTAGTGGATTCAACTATTTCAACCACACCAGTTGCTGACAGGTGTATAAAATCGAGTACACAGCCATACAATCTCCATAGACAAACATTGGCAGTAGAATGGCCTTACTGAAGACCTCAGTAACTTTCAACGTGGCACAGTCATAGGATGCCACCTTTCCAACAACTCAGTTTGTCAAATTTCTACCCTGCTAGAGCTGCCCCGGTCAACTGTAAGTGCTGTTATTATGAAGTGGAAACGTCTAGGAGCAACAACGGCTCAGCTGCAATGTGGTAGGCGACACAAGTTCAGAGAAAAGGACAGCTGAGTGCTGAAGCGCGTAGTGCGTAAAAATCGTCTCACTAACGAGTTCCAAACTGGTAAGCTCGCTGCCATTGTTCTCTGGAGCAGTGGAAACATGTTCTCTGGAGTGATGAGTCACTCTTCACCATCTGGCAGTCCAACGGACGTATCTGGGTTTGGCGGATGCCAGGAGAATGCTACCCGTCCGAATGCATAGTGCCAACTGTAAATTTTGGTGGAGAAGGAATAATGGTCTCGGGCTGTTTTTCATGGTTCGGGCTAGTCACCTTAGTTCCAGTGAAGGGAAATCTTAACGCAACAGCATACAATGAAATGACAATGCCAATGCCCCTGTGCACAAAGCGAGGTCAATACGGAAATGGTTTGTCGAGATCGCTGTGGAAGAACTTGACTGGCCTGCACAGAGCCCTGACCTCAACCCCATCAAACACCTTTGGGATGAATTGGAACACCGACTGCGAGCCAGGCCTAATCACCCAACATCAGTGCCCGACCTCACTAATGTTATTTTGGCTGAATGGAAGCATGTCCCCACAGAAATGTTCCAACATCTAGTGGAAAGCCTTCCCAGAAGAGTGGAGGCTGTTATAGCAGCAAAGGATGGACCAACTCTATATTAATGCCCATGATTTTGGAATGAGATGTTTGACGAGCAGTCCACATACTTTTGGTCATGTAGTGTATCTTAGGAGTCCAATCCTAACAACTGTGGAACCCAATGGGATCAGTTAATATCCTGATTGTAAATACACCTACCATCAACTAAGTTCTGACTTTGATGATGTTCTTCTTCAAATACCTTGAGAAATGAAAATGGAGAGTGAATCAATCATTTATAGAGAACACAACATTGTTATTGTGCTGAATATACAACTGGTAAGATCTAATGAAGATACATTATTTGCATTTAACAACTGTGTGTCCTTCTTTAGAGCATAGTCCACTGAAAACGCTCATGTCTATGCTTTTCTATTTGTCTAGGCTGTTGCTGATAGACAGACATATTTAGTTAGTCACTTTCAGTAGCCTCTGCATACCACTAGCTTTCCCAGACCAGAAGCTAATTAAATGATGTGTGGCAGTTACACTTTACGCTAAAAATCCTGAAATCCCCTCCAACTAACTACCCAAAAACTGCCTGAGTAGATCGACAACAGCGTTGGTAAGTGGAAAATTATAAATGTATTTGTTCTGTGAACCATCCTTTTAATGTGCAGAGGTGTCAGTGGGAAGAAGATAAATATCCTCAATAGCTACCTGTCTTCCAGCTTGTTCTCTATTATAAAAGACTGTATCGTGTCCTTTGTGGTTTGTCTCTGCACACTGACTGCAGATCAGCATCTGGTCTGTCCTACAGAACACTTCCAGTGGACTGTAGTCATGTTGGCAGAGTTTCTGCCCCAGGTCTCCAGTCACATCCACCAGTGTGTGTTTCCATAGTTTAGGTATTCTGTAGTGCGGTCGTATGTGGTTCTCACAGTAGGAGATGGTGCAGGTCTGACAGAACTTCACAGCTTGGACCTCAGAGCAGATATCACAGGGTACATATCCTGGTTGGATTCTGTTAGATGGACAAACTTAATTACACAAGCACTGTTCAACGGAAACGTGTCGGTGTGCCCTCTGCTCGTAATGACACAAACTGTTATTTAGAATTAAGAATGAAATAATAAAATCTCACTTTCGTTTACAGTCTCCCTCCTTGATAAAATAAGTCAAACCCAAAGATTGGTCACTCTCACATGACAAATCTGTATTACTCCCAAATGATGATGTTCGATCCAGATATCTGTGCCTGCAAGTACAGAAAGTAACAAAAATCTAAGTGTTGACATCGAATAGAATAGAATCTCTCTTTCTGAGTAAAGTCTCTCCCCTTTAAACCAAATCAAAATCAAATCAAATTGTATTGGTCACACACACGTACAGTTGAAGTCGGAAGTTTACATACACTTAGGTTGGAGTCATTAAAACTCGTTTTTCAACCACTCCACAATTTTCTTGTTAACAAACTATAGTTTTGGCAAGTCGGTTAGGACATCTACTTTGTGCATGACACAAGTAATTTTTCCAACAATTATTTACAGACAGATTATTTCACTTATAATTCACTGTATCACAATTCCAGTGGGTCAGAAGTTGACATACACTAAGTTGACTGTGCCTTTAAACAGCTTGGAAAATTCCAGAAAATGATGTCATGGCTTTAGAAGCTTCTGATAGGATAATTTACATCATTTGAGTCAATTGGAGGTGTACCTGTGGATGTATTTCAAGGCCTACCTTCAAACTCAGTGCCTCTTTGCTTGACATCATGTGAAAATCAAAAGAAATCAGCCAAGACCTCAGAAAAGAAATTGTAGACCTCCACAAGTCTGTTTCAGCCTTGGGAGCAATTTCCAAATGCCTGAAGGTACCACGTTCATCTGTACAAACAATAGTACGCAAGTATAAACACCATGGGACCACGCAGCCGTCATACCGCTCAGGAAGGAGACACATTCTGTCTCCTAGAGATGAACGTACTTTGGTGCGAAAAGTGCAAATCAATCCCAGAATTACAGCAAAGGACCTTGTGAAGATGCTGGAGGAAACAGGTACAAAAGTATCTATATCCACAGTAAAACAAGTCCTATATCGACATAACCTGAAAGGCCGCTCAGCAAGGAAGAAGCCACTGCTCCAAAACCACCATAAAAAGCCAGACTACGGTTTGCAACTGCACATGGGGACAAAGATTGTACTTTTTGGAGAAATGTCCTCTGGTCTGATGAAAGAAAAATAGAACTGTTTGGCCATAATGACCATCGTTATGTTTGGAGGAAAAAGGGGGTATCTTGCAAGCCGAAGAACACCATCCCAACCGTGAAGCATGGGTGTGGCAGCATCATGCTGTGGGGGTGCTTTGCTGCAGGAGGGACTCGTGCACTTCACAAAATAGATGGAATCATGAGGAAGGAAAATGATGTGGATATATTGAAGCAACATCTCAAGACATCAATCAGGAAGTTAAAGCTTGGTCGCAAATGTGTCTTCCAAATGGACAATGACCCCAAGCATACTTCCAAAGTTGTGGCAAAATGGCATAAGAAAAACAAAGTCAAGGTATTGGAGTGGCCATCACAAAGCCCTGACCTCAATCCTATAGAAAATGTGTGGGCAGAACTGAAAAAGCGTGTGCGAGCAAGGAGGCCTACAAACCTGACTCAGTTACACCAGCTCTGTCAGGAGGAATGGGCCAAAATTCACCCAATTTATTGTGGGAAGCTTGTGGAAGGCTACCCGAAAAGTTTGACCCAAGTTAAACAATTTAAAGGCAATGCAATGCTACCAAAGACTAATTGAGTGTATGTAAACTTCTGACCCACTGGGAATGTGATGAAAGAAATAAAAGCTGAAATAAATAATTATTTCTACTATTATTCTGACATTTCACATTCTTAAAATAAAGTGGTGATCCTAACTGACCTAAGACAGGGAATTTTTACTAGGATTAAATGTCAGGAATTGTGAAAAACTGAGTTTAAATGTATTTGGCTAAAGTGTATGTAAACTTCCGACTTCAACTGTATTTAGCAGATGTTATTGTGGGTGTAGCAGAAATGCTTGTGTTCCTAGCTCCAACAGTGCAGTAGTATCTAACAATTCACAACAATACACACAAATATAAAAGTAAATGAATGGAATTAAGAAATATATAAATATTAGGACGACCAATGTCGGAGTGGCTTTGACTAGAATAGAAAACAGTACATACATATGAAATTAGTAAAGCAGTATGTAAACATTATTAAAGTGACTAGTGTTCCATTATTAAAGTGACCAGTTATTCCATGTCTATGTATATAGGGCAGCAGCCTCTAAGGTGCAGGGTTGAGTAACCGGTTTGTAGCCGGCTAGTTATGGCTATTTAACAGTCTGATGGCCTTGAGATAGAAGCTGTTTTTCAGTCTCCCGGTCCCAGCTTTGATGCACCTGTACTGACCTCGCCTTCTGGATGATAGCTGGGTGAACAGGCCGTGGCTCGGGTGGTTGATGTCCTAGATGATCTTTTTGGCCTTCCTGTGACATTGGGTGCTGTAGGTGTCCTGGAGGGCAGGCAGTGTGCCTCTAGTGATGCGTTGGGCTGACCGCACCACCCTCTGGAGAGCCCTGCGGTTGCGGTCGGTGCTGTTTCCGTACCAGGCGGTGATAGAGCCCGACAGGATGCTCTCAATTGTGCATCTGTAAAAGTGTGTGAGCGTCTTAGGGGCCAAGCCAAATTTATTCAGCCTCCTGAGGTTGAAGAGGTGCTGTTGCGCCTTCTTCACCACACTGTCTGTGTGGGTGGACCATTTCAGTTTGTCAGTGAAGTGTACGCCGAGGAACTTGAAGCTTTTCACCTTCTCCAATGCAGGGTGCTCCCTCTGCTGTTTCCTGAAGTCCATGATCAGCTCCTTCGTTTTGTTGACGTTGAGGGAGAGGTTATTTTCCTGCCACCAATCCGTCAGGGCCCTTATCTCCTCCCTGTAGGCTGTCTCGTCATTGTTGGTAATCAGGCCTACTAATGTTGTGTCATCTGCAAACTTGAGGACTGAGTTGAAGGCGTGCGTGGCCATGCAGTCATGGGTGAACAGGTAGTACAGGAGGGGGCTGAGCACGCACCCTTGTGGGGCCCCTGTGTTGAGGATCAGCGTAGTGGAGGTGTTGTTTCCTACCTTCACCCGTCAGGAAGTCCAGGACCCAGTTGCACAGGGCGGGGTTCAGACCCAGGGCCCCGGGCTTAATGATGAGCTTGGAGGGTGCTATAGTGTTGAAGGCTGAGATATAGTCAATGAACAGCATTCTTACATAGGTATTCCTCTTGTCCAGATGGGATAGGGCAGTGTGCAGTGCGAAGCTGATTGTATCGTCTGTGGAGCTATTTCGGCGGTATGCAAATTAAAGTGGGTCTAGGGTGTCAGGTAATGTAGAGATGATATGATCATTAACTAGCCTCTCAAAGCACTTCATGATGACAGAAGTGAGTGATTCGGGGTGATAGTCATTTAGTTCAGTTACCTTTGCTTTCTTGGGTACAGGAACAATTGTGGCCATCTTGAAGCAAGTGGGGACAGCAGACTGGGATAGGGAGCATCTGGCGATGCTCTGAGGACGCGGCTAGGGATGCCGTCTGTGTTATCCTCAAAGTGGACGAAGAAGGTGTTTACCTTGTCTGGGAGCAAGACGTTGGTGTCCACGACGTGGCTGGTTTTCCCTTTGTAATCCGTGATCCGCTTAATTATTAGAATAGCTGTGTGTATTCTCATTTAACTGACTGTAGCCCCTTTCTGCAGTCAAATGACCTAGTGGCCTCATGGGTGTAATATTATTAATATTTTTCATATAAATAATCAACATTGTTTCAAAAACCTGCTGAAATTCCGGTGATTCTATGTCTACCAGTTTTGTTATATTTCAGTCTCCTGTGATTTATATAAAGTGTAACATTACAATACAAACTCAGAATTTAATACATTTCAACTCTATATCTGACATGGTACAGGTGTTTTTAAGCCCATAACTATGTGTGTGAGGTGTAAAACTTTTGTTTCAAAGTAGTTTTCTTCAAGACTACCAAGAAACACTGTGTGTGACCCTGATTTAGCCCACTGCAGTAAAAGGTTGATAGTATAATAGTAGAGTAGTAGTAGTAGTAGTAGTAGTAGTAATAGTAGTAGTAGTAGTAGTAGTAGTAGTAGTAGTAGTAGTAATAGTAGTAGTAGTAGTAGTAGTAGTATAGTATAGTATAGTATAATCTCACCGCTCATCTTGAGTAAAGTCTCTCCCCTTTAAACCAACAAGGAACAGTACATTGGCAGGAGAGCCCCATAGAAGATGAGCATTAAAAAGTGGCTTAATTATTAGAATAGCTGTGTGTATTCTCATTTAACTGACTGTAGCCCTTTCCTGCAGTCAGATGGCCTAGTGGCCTCATGGGTGGAATGTTATTAATATGTAATAAATTCATAATTAATCAACATTATTTCAAAAACCTTCCGAAAATCTGGTGTTTCTATGTCAAACGGTTTTGTTATATTTCAGTCTTCTGTGATTTAAGTGTAATATAATGATACAAACTCATAATTGAATACATTACAACTCGATCTCTGACATGGTACAGGTGTTTCTAAGCTTCATAACAATGTGTGTGAGGTGTAGACTTTTGTTTCAAAGTAGATTTCTTTAAGAACCAAGAAACACTGTGTGTGACCCTGATTTAGCCCTCTGCAGTAAAAGGTTAATAGTATAGTATAATAGTAGTAGTAGTAGTAGTAGTAGTAGTAGTAGTAGTAGTAGTATAGTGTAGTATAGTATAGTATAATCTCACCGCTCATCTTGAGTAAAGTATCCCTTGAAAGAATTAGGTAACTCCATCGATCGGTCGCTCTTCAGTGAATCACAACTGGGGGTTGGTGAATTTTTATTCTCGGTATGGACACTTCAAGAAATATAAGATCCATAATTGATCAAACAATATAATTGTTATATCTCATACATTCTATCTGCAATCTGCAATAGTGTATAGAAGAGACAGTATAATCCAAGACCAAAAATTCTTGGCTCGTTCCTGATCAAGGTTTTGTGGGGGCGTGGAAACAATAAGCCAAGGTTGGTGATGCAGTCAACTTTTTTCCACAAACGAGTTACTAGTCGTATTCGGCTAAATCTGTCAATCACATCAATGCAGAGACAACCAGGCCGGCAGTTGGCCTGTCTGCTGCTGCCCCCTAGGGGTTGGATGTACAGTGGAAATGTACTGTCCACCTGTGGCCAAACCATAGATAAGAGAAAATGGGCAGCGCCATTAAGGGTCATCTCTATTTTAAAGTAGTCCATTTCTTCTTCTATGAGTGTATTGGCAGTTCACAAATAAACTAAAAAGGTGCATAGCACCACCTACTGTGCTGGAGTGCGTATTGTCTGAACAGGTATAAAGCCAAGGTTGGTGATTTACTGCCACCTGCCATTATATAATGTTTTCTCAGGAGTATAATTCATTGGCTGACCCCTCCTGCTGACCTGGATGGAATTATGTGATCCTAAGTCCCACCCAGTTGGCTACTTCAAAATGGTTAAATCCCTCAATGACGCTATCCATGCTTAAACAGACTTTGTTCACAGTGCACCTCTATGGGCCAAACACACTTAACTACCTCCATCGATAAACATTCACCTTTTTACTCTTGCTTATTTTTGTCCATAATTATTTATCTTTCAATAATTATTTGACTTTTATTGTTTTATTTACAGATTGAAATGGGACCAGACCAGTCCTCTTCAGGATTGTGAGGCCTCTTCTCTGAGAGTTATAATGAGTTATCATCAGGGGGCGGAGGGTGGAGCCATCCCTAAAGAAAGACATAAAGATGGGTCACCAAACAAGGATCTTGATGAGACCATGGACCCTAAAAGGTATGTACAGGTTTCCTTGATAACCACACATATAGTCTTAAGACTAGACTAGACAGGCATGCAAGACTCCGGCAGTATGGGAGTGGGCTCCACGGACCTCTCCTCCGTGTCATACCGCCGAGACAGTGCGTCTGCCTTACCATTCTGTGACCCAGGGATGTACGTGATCTTAAACGTGAACCGGGTCAAAAACATATTCCACCTCGCCTGGCGAGGGTTCAGCCTCCTCGCTGCCCGGATGTACTCCAGGTTACGGTGGTCCGTCAAAATGAGGAAAGGGTGTTGAGCCCCCTCAAGCCAGTGCCTCCACACCTTTAGGGCCTGTACCACAGCTAACAGCTCCCTGTCCCCTACGTCATAGTTTCGCTCCGCCGGACTGAGCTTCTTGGAATAAAAAGCACAGGGGCGGAGTTTAGGTGGCGCGCCGGACCGTTGCGAAAGCACGGCTCCTATACCGGCCTCTGACGCGTCCACCTCTACCTGAAATGGCAAAGAGGGATCCGGATGCGCCAGCACCGGGGCCGAGGTAAACAGGTCCTTCAGCCTCCCAAACGCCCTGTCCGCCTCGGCTGACCACTGCAGACGCACCGGACCCCCCTTCAAAAGAGACGTTATGGGAGCTGCCACCTGTCCAAAACCCCGGATAAACCTCCGGTAGTAATTCGCAAACCCCAAAAACTGCTGCACCTCCTTCACAGTGGTTGGCGTTTGCCAATTACGCACGGCTGACACCCGATCTACCTCCATCTTCACCCCTGACGCAGACAACTGATAACCCAAAAAGGAGACCGACTCCTGGAAAAACAGACACTTCTCTGCCTTGACATACAGGTCGTGCTCCAACAGCCTCCGCAACACCCTGCGCACCAGGGCCACATGCTCGACTCGGGTAGGCGAGTACACGAGAATGTCATCTATGTACACGACCACCCCCTGCCCCTGCATGTCCCTGAAGATCTCATCCACGAATGATTGGAAAACTGAAGGAGCGTTCATCAACCCGTATTGCATGACAAGATAATCGTAATGGCCCGAGGTGGTACTAAAGGCTGTCCTCCATTCATCGCCCTCCCTAATGCGCACCAAGTTGTACGCGCTCCTGAGATCTAATTTAGTGAAGAAACGCGCCCCGTGCAATGACTCCGTCATGGTCGCAATCAGCGGGAGTGGGTAACTGTACTTCACCGTGATCTGATTGAGACCACGGTAATCGATGCACGGGCGTAACCCACCATCCTTTTTCTTCACAAAAAAGAAACTCGAGGACGCAGGGGAAGTGGAAGGCCGTATGTATCCTTGTCTCAGAGATTCGTCTATGTAAGTCTCCATAGCTCTCTTCTCCTCCTGAGACAGAGGATACACATGGCTCCGTGGGAGCGCAGCTCCTGCCTGGAGGTCTATCGCACAATCTCCCTGCCTATGGGAAAGCAACTGCGTCGCCCTCGACTTACTGAACACAATAGCCAAATCCCCATACTCAGGGGGAACGTGCAATGCGGGCACCTGGTTTGGACTCTCCACCGAGGTAGCCCCTACGGAAACGCCTAAACATTGACCCACACACTGGGCAGACCACTCCATCAGAGCCCTCTCCTGCCACGAAATAGATGGGTTATGGGTACTCAACCAGGGAATCCCCAGCACCACCGGATACGCAGGCGAGTCGATCAGAAATAGCTGGATCATCTCCTGATGACCCCCCTGCGCACACATCCTAAGTGGCGCCGTGACCTCCCTGATCAAGCCCGCACCCAACGGATAGCTATCTAGGGCATGAACGGGGAAAGTGACGTCAACAGGTAGAAGGGGAATCCCTAAGGCTAAACAAAATTTATTATCTACAAAATTCCCAGCCGCGCCTGAATCTACCAGCGCCTTATGCTGGGAATGAGGTGCTACCTGTGGAAAACGCACAGGTATACAGAAGTGTGCAACAGAGAGCTCTGGGTGAGTGGGGCGCCTACTCACCTGGAAGGACTCCCCAGTGCGGGACCTGTCGTCTTCCCACCTAGGAGGCCATCCCCAGCACCTAGCCGCGGTGTGTCCTCCCCGACCACAGTTGGTGCAGGAGATGGACCCCCTCGGAATCCGACCCCTCCTCTCTCTAGCACCAGCGCCACCGAGCTCCATGGGGCACGGCTCGGAAGCGCTGGAGGGTGAAATGGACGGACCCCCCTCGGAACGTCCGCGGGTAGCCAGCAGGGTATCCAGCCTGATGGGCATGTCGACCAACTGGTCGAACGAGAGTCTGGTGTCCCTACAGGCCAGCTCCCTACGGACGTCCTCACGTACACTACATCGATAGTGATCGATGAGGGCCCGCTCATTCCACCCTGCATCCGCCGCTAGAGTACGGAATTCCAAGGCGAACTCCTGGTCACTCCTCTTCCCCTGCCAGAGGCAGAACAGACGCTCCCCCGCCGCTTTCCCCTCCGGGGGATGGTCAAACACCGCCCTGAAGCGGCGGGAGAACTCGTCGTAAGTGATGGTGGTAGCGTCTATTCTCCTCCACTCTGCGTTGGCCCATTCCAACGCCTTACCGGAAAGGCAGGAGATCAGGGCGGACACGCTCTCGTGCCCCGAGGGCGCCGGGTGCACGGTGGCCAGGTAAAGCTCCACCTGGAGAAGGAATCCCTGACACCCGGCAGCGGTCCCATCGTAGGCCCTCGGTAGCGAGAGTCGAACTCCTCTGGGTTCCGGAGCGGGAATGGGCTGACTTGCCGATGGTGCGGGCAGGGAAGATGGTGGTGGAGGTGTCCCTCAGGTCTCCCAGCCTCTGATGGTGGTGATCACCTCCTGCAGTGCGGACCCCATCCGCAGGATCTGGTCATTCTGCTCGCGGACCCTGTCCTCCAGCGTCGCCTGTGCTGCTGCGGCTCCTGCTGATTCCATTCTTAAAGGTGTGTGATTCTGTCAGTGTAGCTGTAGGTGGGTGTGGTGGTGGAATCAGGCGCAGGACGCACAAAGTAAGTCCAAAAGACTTTAGTGGTTTAGCAAATAAACACAGCATAAAAATAAATGCCCTGAGGCGAGAAACTCCGCACGCAGGCGAAATAAAACGGGCGCACTAAACACGTGCGACAAGATACTCCAAAAACAAATGGAGAGCAGCTCGACCGAGTAAACTGTATAGACACAAGCAATACGCACGACAGTGAATACAATCACACACAACACTAAGCAAACACAAGGAGAACTTATAGGACACTAATACACTAAACGAAAACAGGTGTGACAACAATCAGACAAAAGCAAACGAACATAGAAACATGCAACGGTGGCAGCTAGTATTCCGGAGACGCCGAACGCCGAAGCCTGCCCGAGCAAGGAAGAGAGGCAGCCTCGGCCGAAACCGTGACAGTTCCACATACTCGGGGGTAAAAACCTTAAATCTGGATAACTACACAAAACAAATAAGACAAATGTATCGACTAATATTACCAAAACAAACAACAACCAAACATGATGGAGAGTAAACATGGAGAACCAATCCCCAAAAGAAAACGTGACTCCAGACGATTTATGTTTCTCACCACCCGGAATGGTAAGGGTGGAAACCGATTTGTTGAAGTCGATAAATGATAAACTTGAATTAGTCAGTAAAGATATAAAGGAGATGAAGGCGAGCCTCAAGATGAATGACGAAAAAGTTACGACAATGGAGAAAGAAACAGACAAGCTAAAAGGTGCAGTCAATACGATCGAAACGGACGTTAATGAACTTGAAAAGGAGAACATGTTTCTGAGAGAAGCCTTACTTGAAATACAGACTAGATCTATGAGAGAAAATCTGGTATCCAATAAAAAGAAGGCGAAAGTCCTGAAATCATGGTGAAATAATTATTTCATACAGCGATACAGATCCCAGGCGATGTTGTCGACAAAATCCAACTCGAACGTGTAATCCGTTTAGGACAGAGATATGAGCGCCCAATCGTTGCCAAATTTGCATTATTTAAAGATAAAATAATGGCTAAAGGCCTGGGTGAAAGACTCGCTGGCACGAAAATAGGAATTCATGATCAG